GTCTTTTAAATAATTGTCGAAATAAATTAAGCATTACCTGTTTTTAATATTATTAAGGTTTTCTTGAGTATTTTAATAGAATATTATGAAAAATTTTATTATACAGTCGAACCTCCAAAGACGGCCACTTCCCAGCAACAATCACTTCTAAACAGGGGCCATTTTTTTTTCCTGAACGAAAATGTATACGAAATAACCTCTAAATAAGGAACATTTTTATATTCTCATCAGGTTTGACTGTATTAATAAAACTCATAATAAACATGTAATTAAAGTAAATGTATATTTGCAAATTTATAAATAAAAAAAAAAAAAAGAATTCCCCAAATTCACAAACATATTCACCGATAAAATTCGTTAATTTCAAATTTTAAAAACGTTAACCAATAAGATTCGTTAATTTCAAATTTTAAAAACGTTAACCAATAACAGTTCATAATTTCAAATTTCAAAAAAACGATAACCAATACGATTCAAAATTTCAAAAATTTAAATATGATTTAACCAATAACGTACGAGATCGAGTCGTAACAGTAAACAATAACAATTACACAATATTATCGGGTATGCACTTATACAACAATAAATAATAATAGAAAATAAATAAATAAATAGGTAATAGGAGAAAAATGCAAATTTTGCAATTGTAAAGAAACCTTTCGAGACCCTTAATAAGATCAAGATAGGGATGGCTTTTGTCAGAATATAAAAATAGTCTGCAAGAAAGCTAGAATTTTCTTTGAGTGTGACGAAGTATACGCAAAGGCGACTAAAACTACGCAAACGTACTGTACAAAGTACAAATAATTATTTTACTTAACACGATTCGTAGAAAACGAATACTGTATTTCCCCCTTCAGATATACGTCAACGTTACCAAACTAACCAGAATATAATTTCAGAAATAATTTCCTGTACTTGCAAATGGAGTAGTGTTTAGATTAAACGTACAGATGTTTACTTTTACTATAATAATTTAAATATATATATATATATATATATTGCATTCACTTAATTACTGCGACAGTAGCATATAGCACTTCCCACTCGTTTTTTTCATTTCTGAATGATATTTTTTTAATACTGTAAGTGTCCTCCAGTATCCGAATGGATAAAACCACCGAACACCGGTAGTTAGTTAATCGTGGGTTTAATCTAGCCACGTGTAGTTTTTCGGGTTTTCTTCAGGTTAGTAACGCCTAAATAGGAACCAGCTTCACATAAGTCATCCCGGGTTGCATTCCCCTCGGCAGATCGCTCATGTGTTGGGTTGCCGTAACCAAATAAACCAAACTAAATCTAGCGAGCGATTATTTATTGTGACACCGTCATAATGCTGGGCTGCAACATTTCGTTACAATGTTCTCAATTCTTTTAGTGGTGTCTTGACCTTGCACATCATACTTTTCCTGTTAGCAATAGAGTCGAGTCGGTCATCTATCTAACTTCGTTCGGGGGAAACTTTTTAATTGAAGTAATGTGACTTCCGGTCTAAACTGGAAGTTCATATACAGTAATACCCCGACTTACGCGAACCCGGAGTTACGCGATTTTCAAATCTCGTCAATTCGTCTTTTGTTTGAGCGCCACGCAACCCTTGATTATTCACTCCCCCCACACTACTGTTCAGCTTACATGTTCGGATGTGTCGCATGGAATCGACACATAGCTACAATTTATTTTGTGTTATTTATTTCTGTGTTTGTTATATCTACGGAGACTCGAGAGACTCTACTATGTCATCCAAACGAAGTAGAACTAATTCTTCTGCATCAAACAAGAAAAGAAAAACTTTATCTTTGGAATGTAAAGTTAACATTGGGTATGTTCGTAAAGTCGAACGAGTTAAACGAGAATGACGTCATCGTTATTCCTATTTCGTTAGACTTTTCGAACGATTCGTTACTAACGCGTTTAACTCGTTTGACTTTACGAACGTACCCATTATTAAAGACTTCGATACAAAAATGAAAATTTGTGAATTGGCAAAGAAGTTTGATCTACCGGAATTGTCGGTCAGAACAATTATAAAAGGCAAAGAAAAAATTCTCGAAGCTGTGAAAAATGCTCAATCTTTAAATTCAAGCATCATTCGTAAACGTCACAGTATTATCGCTGAGATGGAAACAATGTTAAAATTATGGCGTAATAATCAAGTAAATGTGAAAAATTGTAAAATAATATAGGCCTAATTTGTTATACATATGTATTATCTAAGATTTTATTAAACATTTTTTTCTAAATTATTGTTTTCTTTAGTCTCCGGCCCCAATTAAAAATTATTTGTATGTATTTATATGCGAAATTATACCCCGACTTACGCGAATTCGACTTACGCGGTTACCGCTCGGTCCCACCTATCGCGTAAGTTCGGGGTATTACTGTATTTTATAAACCATAGTAATTGTTATTTAAAACCTACAGCCGAGAATGGTGAGAATCAAACGGACTATTTTCAATTTGATCAATTTTCTGGAACGTTTACAATCGTTCTATAATCGAACCAATTCGAATTCGAATTCGAATACAGTAATACCCGACTTACGCGAACCCAGAGTTACGCAATTTTCAAATCTCGTCGATTCGTCTTTTGTTTGAGCGCCACGCAACCCTTGATTACTCACTCCCCCCACACTATTGTTCAGCTTACATGTTCGGATGTGTCGCGCGGAATCCACACATAGCTACAATTTATTTTGTGTTATTTATTTCTGTGTTTGTTATATCTACGGAGACTCGAGAGACTCTACTATGTCATCCAAACGAAGTAGAACTAATTCTTCTGCATCAAACAAGAAAAGAAAAACTTTATCTTTGGAATGTAAAGTTAACATTGGGTATGTTCGTAAAGTCGAACGAGTTAAACGAGAATGACGTCATCGTTATTCCTATTTCGTTAGACTTTTCGAACGATTCGTTACTAACGCGTTTAACTCGTTTGACTTTACGAACGTACCCATTATTAAAGACTTCGATACAAAAATGAAAATTTGTGAATTGGCAAAGAAGTTTGATCTACCGGAATTGTCGGTCAGAACAATTATAAAAGGCAAAGAAAAAATTCTCGAAGCTGTGAAAAATGCTCAATCTTTAAATTCAAGCATCATTCGTAAACGTCACAGTATTATCGCTGAGATGGAAACAATGTTAAAATTATGGCGTAATAATCAAGTAAATGTGAAAAATTGTAAAATAATATAGGCCTAATTTGTTATACATATGTATTATCTAAGATTTTATTAAACACTTTTTTCTAAATTATTGTTTTCTTTAGTCTCCGGCCCTAATTAAAAATTATTTGTATGTATTTATATGCGAAATTATACCCCGACATACGCGAACTCGACTTACGCGGTTACCGCTCGGTCCCACCTATCGCGTAAGTTCGGGGTATTACTGTATAGTTCATATATAGTTAATCTGGACTTCCTGCCCCAAGCTTTCTACATTTGGTTATGATTTTCATCTTGCTAACTGCTTTCTTGAGATTAAGGATATAGTCAGAGGAAGGACAGTAGAAATTTATTTTTAGTTTTTATGTATCAGTCTCTTTCATTACTAGCATGTTTTTTTTTTGTCTATTTTTGATAAACAAATGCAACACTTCTTCCATTTCCCAAAATTATTACCTCCTTATTATCTCTTAGAAGGATTTTAACTTCAACAATGTGGTTCATAACATGACAAAGGTCAAAATGAAGTTTTTCATTGTAAATATTTTCAAAAGTTGAAACCAAAATTTTTACAAACAAACTATAACTATAACAAAAACACAAGAACACACTTATATTCTGAAGAAGAAAAAACACTGTTTGAAAAAGTCAATGACGTACTAAGTATGATACAGATCAAACTGATCTGATCACATTATAAATAAACAATCATATGGCTGAGAGTAAAGCCTTTCAAGACTTGGCTCGTACTTAGATTATAAAAATATTGTTATATTGAAGGTTAAATACTATACTTACCGCTATAAACTCTGATCTTACCTTCTTTATAAAAATTAAATAAAATCTAGAAATCTGCTAAATTCGAGAAAAAACAATCTAGATTTATATTACTTATCTAATTGCCTAAATCTCAAATCTAAGGGCAAACAAAAGAATCTAGATTTAGATGAGAAAAATAGATTCTAAAGTGACAATCCTGTATTTGAGTATTGGTTTTTAAATAATAATTTATCAGCGCCATCTAAAATAGAGAAGTGGAATTAAAAGAAAGATTATAGTGTTATCAGAGTTATTCGGTCGATGACGAATTCTTATGAAATTTTCGAAAGACAGAAGGAAAACAGAATAATGTCTTGTCAAAATAATTAACAAGTAAGTTTATATTAACAAAAATACAGTTAAAGTTACTTGGATTTTTAAAAATGTCTTCTTATTAAGTATCATAAAAGAATACAAGGTTATTTTGGTTTTTTACTTGTTTCAAAATAGGTAATGATTACAGGATTTATAGGAATTACTTAAACATATTTAGAAAGAATAGGTCATAATAAACAGTGTGGATTAATTGATAGTTAATTACAAATACTAAATACATTAAATTGTCATTGAATATCGGAAACTAATTGCTACAGTTATATGCTTTATGCTATTTCTATCGGACTTTGTCGTTTGGAGGTTACTTTTAGGTAATTTGTGTATAAGTGTATAAACATTGCTAATATATATGATATATAAACACTGTGTATCATAATCTGATTATGTGTGTTGTTTTTTTAGGTTCTAATTACTCTTTAATTTCATATTTACACTTGAATATAGTTTTTTGTTTATATATGTTGAATTTTTTTAAGTTATTATCTTTAGCGGAAAGATTATTGTAAATTAAATGTTTGATGATACTGCAATTGTGAAATGCTTGTGTAATTTCATTACAAGTATGGTACTTTCACTTTTGATGTTAGTTACAATAAATTGGTTTTTATATGATAAATACTCTGTATATATACATTATAATCATATTTGGGACTATTGAGTGGGGGATTTTTTCCTGGACCCAGAAACCTGTAGTGGTCCCTATTGATTAATGTTAGTTTTTATTAATAAAAAATAAAATCTTTAAAACTGTTATTTGTTTTTTAATCAATAAAGAAATATTATAAATATTTAATTTGTTTGGAAATAAAATGGTAAAATGGGCCTGCTCTATTCTGGACCCATACAAGCTCTCAATGGCTCTATATTCAATTATTCATTAATATAGTTATTTCAATCAAAACTTCAGACTATGAGGTGTTAAATATAATTAAAAATATTTTAATCTTGCGAGCGCTTTCGACGTAAATATGCACGTCGTCTTCAGGCAATTCAAATATACTTATTTTATATAAATTGTTGTAATTATTTTGTAAACTAATTTTTATCTATTATTGTTATTTTTTATATAAGAGATAATTTGTGGATATGATGATATAATTAATATTGTATAGAAAAAGAGTACTTATTCTGTGAGTATGCTTTAATGCTCATTAATGGTAGAAGCAAATTTTAGTAATATTTGAAGTGACATTAATACAGCTTGAAATTGCAGAATGAGGTACTCTATCTGCATGATTGAATAAGCAATTTAAAGCTAGTTTTGTGCTGTTGAACAAACTACTATGAATGAACAAAACAAATACTAATCAATGTGGAATGTTCATATTGTACTTTGTGACACAAACTGAGTTAGAACATGATTAGTTGTAAATGTTTGGAGCACTAGTTGTGAAAAGTTCATTGGTTGAACAAATTCAAGTTTGGCAAAAGTTGAGATAACCTAATGAACTGGTTGAGCAGTTGCCAAAAGGGATTATCTGATGGTTTGTATCTACTCTGTAGTGGTTTACATTTGAATATAAAGCTTAAATTGGTTCATATAGCTTATAGTGTACACCTAGGCCCATTCTGTACTGAAGTGCAAAGGATGCAATGAACCTGGGTGGCATAATCAAACTTTTCAATTTTTCAAAGAACTTAGTTATTTGAAAAATTGAAAAGTTTGATTATGCCACCCAGGTTCATTGCGGAACCTTTAAACTTAAAACTTCTTAATCATTGGAAAAAAAAATGTTTCTGCTGAGTAAAATACATCTTAATGAACATTACAGAATTAAAAATAACACAATGAAACTAATAAAAATACAATAAAAATTTATAATTTTAATTCTTAAAAATGATTTTTAAAATTAACAAACAAAAAAGAATATTTAATAGATATTAATGTGTACTATTAAAAATAGAAAAATAGTTTAGTTGATTTCAAAACAGTTCTCTAAAAACATTTTTTATAATTATTCATAATATATCTTGGCAATTAAAATAAAATCTTATAAATTTATCTGCTCAGTTGTGATATTGTAAAACATTTTGTCATGAGTGAATATAACCAGTAAAGTATTACAGAAAATTGATTCAGTATTGAAAATAATATAGGAGTATTACAAAATTTAAAATATTTGTAAAATTATAGGTCTGATGAATTTCAAAATGTTTTATACGAAGCAAATAAAATAGAAGCTGACACAATATTTTCTCCATTGCCAATAATTTGACGACATAGGCAGAAAGTAATGTTTTATTATGAAAGTTCAAGTGAAACGATTTGGGGTCCGGAAACAAGTTTTAAAATCAATTTCTTTTTGCTATTTTGAATACCATTTTAAATTCTTTAAATGATATGTATTTTTAATAGTTCAATTCTAAAGATAATTTTGATTTTCTTTGATATTCCTAGTTTATCAAGCATTCTCAAAGAAACAAAAATGAAATATTGCGTAGATTTTCGAAATAAACTGTTTGAGGATATTAAAAAAGAAGCTGACATAAGTATCTTAAATTTATGCAATAATTTTTCCTGAGTCTGGCTGTTATAGTGGTTCCTATTTCCTATCTTTATAAATTAATTTTACTTTTGCTAACAAAAAATAAAATCTTTAAGACTGCTCTTTATTAATGAAGAAACAGTCTACAAATTTCATTTATTCAAAAAAAAAAAAAAAAGAAAAAAAAGGCTAAAGGGGTTCACTGAGAGGTAAAAGGGAGCACAAGCTTGAATCTTGATGATCCTGGTTATATATATACATATGTAAAACAGGAAGCCAAAAAGGCTATAGACAAATACATAGTTCAAAATTTAAAAAAAAATTATTTCATACAATTGTTAAAATGTGTAGTAAGCCTATATACAGTATTAAATGTTTTTTTTTTTTTTTTTAAACAAGATAAATTTGTAATCAATGATTTATTTTTTTATTAGAACATTTAGAGAAACTAACAAAATATATTTTGTCCCATGTGCAAACTGGTTCCACTTGTCAGTTCAGTAAATTAGAAAAGCTGGGACAACTGAGACAAAACAACTCTTTGAAAACTTAGTTCTATTCAAAAAACATTATGGAAATTTGTATAACCAATGCTTCATCATTTAAGGGGAATCTAGTTTGTGGGGCATCCTGTAGCTTCAAATTAAGTGGTGCTTAGGTTAGCACAAATTCAGATTAGTGAAAGTGGAATGTAAAGAAAGTAGTGGCAACATATCCATATATAACAAATCATTTATTGTAGAAACAGATTAGAATTACATTTCTTTAATATTATCTCCTGTTATATCATATGCACACCAGTAGTACTGATGTTTGTTTATGTCCTTAATGACTGCACTACTGCTCAAAGGATGGCATCTCTTGTATGGGAATGCTTTTCTCTCAATGGTTCCTTTAGCTAGGGAAAGAGATTGAAGTCACAAGAACTCATATTGGGTGAATATGGAGGATGTTTGAGTACCTCCCCCTCTGTCCTAACAACTCTCTCACAGGAGCATGTGTAAGAAAATGGGAGCATGTGTTTGGAAATGCTGTTGTTTCCTCTGCACTGTGGGACAAAAATGATGTTCCAGGTACCTCTGGTATTATGCAGCATTCAGAGTCTGGCCCTGAGGAACTGCATGAATAGTATCACATCCTTCACAATGTATACCACTATCAACTTCACTTTCACATTCCCAGGTTCTTGGTGCAGTTTTTTAGGGTGGAAATGATGGATCATGCCATTCATTTGATTGGTGTTTCAGTTCTGGCTTGTAGGATTGCATCCACATTTCATCCAAAGCAATGATCATACTTCAAAAACATCACATTTAATTTGACATCACTAAGTAACTGCTTTTTATTGATCTACATGTCCTACACAAGCACCACTAGGTGAATCGAACAGCCATGCCTTTTCCTCCAAAATCCAGAAATCAACAGCACTACCACTCATTTCTATGGAGCATGGAAAGAAATTAGTGTTGCCACTATTTTCTTTCCAATACATGTATGTGGATACAGAATAATGAGAACAATCAGAAACATTTATTGAACAAAAACTTTTCAACACATCAAAATGCAGGTTGTATTGTTTGAAATAATAACTGAGACAGTTTTCATTTACATCATTTATGAAAGTTGGTTTGTGCAGTGCACATCAAAATGATGCATGATTTCTTGTCAAACTGAAATTAACATCTGACAATTAATTGTTTCTACAGCTATGCATATTTGATCCTACAGATCAACCAAGTTTTGTGGCAAAGGTAACACACAAACTTTGTTGTATACATATCTCCAGAGGGAAAATTGAGGGACACAGGTCTTCTGACTGCCATTCAGTTTATCCTTCAGTACCAAATTTGTATGTTCAGAAGGGACAATATGCAGTGGTATTCCAACTTGCTGAAAGACAGCATTGAGTCTGTTGTTTAATAACTTTGGGAATACCCATAGCTTCAACGTGTTATGATACAAAATTCCAGTTAGTGTTTTAGCAAACATGAACGATCCATAATCTTTCTTTTGTCAATCTTCTGTCAGAGCACAAAACACATTTACCTTTGGATTGTCTCTTGAATGTTCAGCAGCTACATGTGAGTTTCAGAATCTCATACATGTATGTTGTGTTGGTTTTCTTTCTTCTCCTTACAGATGAAATATAGTTTTATCACTGAAAAAAGAGATGAAATATAGTTTTATCACTGAAAGAAATTGTGTATTTAGTTCAAAGAGGTTAAGTTGATTGATTGAATAAATGATGCTTAATTAATACAAGACTTGAGTAGCTCTGTAAGACTTTAATAAGATTTTGAGGCAGGAATAATACATGAACAGTTCAGAACCTGATGTTGGGTACAGGATGTGAAGGAAAGTATTGGAAAAAGTCTGGGTTTTTGAATATGTATTGTGCAAGTGCATGGGGAGATGCACACTGTGTAACAGAAAAAACAAAAGACACAATAAAGCTCTTGACATGAACATTTCATCCTCTTTAATTACAGTACTACAAAATATATATTTAAA